AGCGATGAGGAAAGTGATGTGTAGGCCAACGAAGACAGATGAGCAGGAAATTCTGCTAGCCAATCAGAAAGACAGGATATTGGTGCGCTCGACTGACCTGAAACTGGTTCACAGTGATGCTCTTCCCGCGCTCCTTCGTCGCGTACGCCGAGTAATAAATCACGGCCGCATAGGTCGACGTGGCACCCATGTCGAAGATAACCACATGTCGACTGCCATTGCTGAAGTCCTTATCCATGCCGTACTGCAGCGCAACCCCGGCATGCTCCTGAATCAACGCCATCACATTCACGCCAACCAGCGCGCCAGCGTCAATAATCGACTGCCTCTGGCTCTGCGAGAAGTACGCGGGAACGCTAATGACAGCGTCCACAATCCCGGTTCTTCCGTGAGCATCCGCTAGTCCCTTAGCGTAACCCAGCTGCATCGCGAGGAGCTCTTCAGCGCAGTACTCCGTCGAGCCGTCGTGGATTCGAATCCGCACGGGACGCTTCCGCTTCAATTTCTTCGCCTTGTCCTTGCCTGACGAACGCTCCGAAGCCGCGTCGCCGTCCGTATCTGAAGTCACCTCGCTGATCACTTCCGACTCCATTGAGTCGTCCTCAGTTTCTTCCTCCGGCCTTCCATCCCCTCCGACGACATCGTACGGAAGATAGCTGCTTTTCAGTAGCTCCTTAACCTCATCTACTGGAAGGCCGATCATGTCCCTTGCTCGGGTGTACACGCGATCGGGGTACCTAGCGGCGATTCCAACGGCTTCCTCTGACAGGAGCCTATCGCCGTTGGATATCGCCACCACAGACGGAGATTTCCGCTTCGACATTTCGTTGATCGCGATCGAGATCGGACTCTGACCGGGTCGCGGATTTACCACAGCGACCTTCATGGATTCCGAACCCAGGTCAACGGTGAACACCGCTCCGCTCACGAACGGAACCAGTGCTAAAAGTGTGAGAGTTACCCCCAGTACCAGACGCCATTTTATTTGCTCGGAATTAATGCGACGCGCACCCATGGTCGGCGTTCTGGCTTCAAGGTACCAGCCGACTCTGCACAACTCCGAATTGCGTGCGATCAGGCGTTCCGATCAGGAAAGACTTCACAACCTGGGTGTAATAGTAGGCAACTCTCAGGCAAAACCTGAGAACGTGGGAAAATGAGAGCTGGCAAAGGTGAAAGCAAAATCGGAGTGAGCGGATTCACTCAGCGGCATGTGAAAAATGCTGGGAGGGAGATCCCAAGGAAGCGAAGAGGTTTCGCGAACGCCACGTTGATTCGACGAATTGTAATTCCCACTGGTGGACAGCAGAAACCAGCGAAAGAGAAGGTTCTGAACCAATCAGATCACCGGAAAGACGTGGCCCTTTCGCTAAAGCACTTTTGTTCACAGACCAGGAAATTCGGATCTCATTCTGCCAAACATGGCTTTCCCTCACATTTCTGTGGCTAACAAACATTTTTGAATTGGTTGCCATCAAGCACACGCAGTCATGGCTTCTGCTCGTGTGCCAGAAGCGGTGGCCAACGAATGCCTGGCGCTTATATTCCAAATGCAGGTAATATCCTGTGTTATGCCTCGTGGTTCTAGTAGTATAGGCTTGCATGAAGTCTGACGTCGATTCCTCAGATAAAAACGAGAAGTGGAAACCCGATATCGCAATGTACAAGGTGGTGTGCTGCCTCTTTGTTCATCAAGCTCGCAAGACGTCTGGATACAATTGAGGCTGAATGCGCAGACAGTCCTGAAAGGTACTAACTCATGGCGAGTTAAGAAGGTCTATAACTGACGTAATCACGTTTCCGACGACCAGGATCTTGAATGCGTCAACTGTCCTCCAGCCCGACCGGTCAGACTGCTTGTTTCTGACATTGGTCTTACTATGGGTCGGAAGCAAGGTAGGACGCCTCATGCTGATAATTGCGACTTTCTTCTTCACACAAGTCTAACACGCTGGTAGTGCAGATGTTTGAAACTCAGCAAATCTCCTTGACGGAGCTGAAGGCTTGTTCATCCCGAATCATTAGCGACAAAGTTTACACTGCAAAGGACTTTGTGAAGGCTGTAAGTTGCGACAAATGTACGGTTTCACATGGTATTCTTGCGGTGTTTCTTATCGCTCTATTACTTCTTTCAGGAAATTGAGCTGCTGGGGGTAAGGATTCCCTAATGCTAGTTCTGGCAACATGAGTTCCCTGACAAGACATAACTATATTGAGCAGACAATAAACTTCGAGATTGAGACAGGAAGGTCATGCCCCTCAGTCCTGGAGGACCTGCTGAGAGAACTCAGGTTAGTTACCGGTTTTCCCGCTCTAGGTTCGCTAATTGTTGCTTTCAACGGTGCACTAATGTTTCAGGCGAGTTTCTCGAGTTGGTGACTTCATCAAACTAAGTACGTGCTTCACAATTTACACCTTCTTGCACTCTGATTCTGTTTTACGGCAACATTTGTCTAGAGCAGCACTTCCTGTCTCCATCATTGTGAGTATTGCGACCAGTCTGATGTCATGGACAGCTTGATGGTAATAAATTAAAAAAAAAAAGTAATGCCCTTCCTGTAACGACTTCAGGTTGTTGCCTACCTTATTTCGGTACCTAAAAAGCAAGCATTGTTCCCAGTGCTCCAGTGGGGTAAGACAAAGGATGCAGCACAATCTGCAGGCCGAAAGAACCTCTGATTAACCACCTAACTGTCCCTTGCAGTTTGCGCAATGAACAATCAGGACCAGGATGAGATACACGGCCTCACAAGACTTATTCTGCAAAACATTCTTGAATAGGCGCTGTAATCAGCTGGATGTTTACAATGAATACTACAACAGACAACAGGGGGCTAACCAGCATCCCTTCCACATAGAAAGATTGGTCTTAACCGTTTGGATTGGAGGATGCTCTGACCACCAGCTCTTCTGTCCATTAATCTCATACGCAGCAGTACCCATCGCTAGTCTTCGTCCATCCCAATGCAAACCTCAGGGAGATTGCGATAATCGTCTTCCAAGGGCTTTGTGACAACCAGTGGTTCTGCATCAACAAAAACGGTCAAAACAAACACCAATCATTTGTGCAACCACGGAGGCTTACAAAAAGGAGTCAAGAGCACATGAGGACTTACTCATTGCGGCATCTGATGAGAACGGGAACATTGCAGCATCAGGCTGCCCTCGAGACCGGGTAGAACTTTGAAGCTCTCGGAGAATCTCTGGTGACATCTGCATACAAGAGGAAGCCGACAATAAGGATAAATCATTACAATCTTTCCTGGTTGGAGTGGTGTGTCGCAGCAGTGACACAATGTCTCCATGGCTCGCATGAATACTTACCAAGTGATGGTGCTGCCGGCTGGTGATGAGAAACTTGATATCAGCCTTTTGTTGTTGGGTCAACTCATTCTTGTACCTGACATGATTGAGCCAGGAAACAGAAATAAGCACAAAATGGAAACACATGGTGACAGAACATGCAAAAGCTTGGCAAAATAAATATCAACAACCAAATAAGCCCATTGGATTCGTTGAAAAAGACACACCTTTGGATGAGGGAGAGCAGGCACTGGTGCCAGATTACTGGCAGCTCGCGGGTCTCAGAGCGAAAGCGCAGGAAGTGTCCAACCACTGCATCAATGACCCGATATGGCAGGGCATACTTCTTGTCCAGCAGAAGCTTCATGAAATAACTGCTCAACCAAGGGAAAAGGCATGACACAAGCCATGCTTGAGATTACTGGTTGTCAAAGCCAACAGAATGACTTATGCTCAAGAACCACTACATGGTTCCGGGTGGGGCTATTCAGATGTTAATTGCAAGCTCCTACTCCCACAGCTCCTGCAAGCACCTCACAGTATCAATAATGCCAATGTTGACAAACCAATGTCAATGACCATGGCTGCTGAGAGTCGTCTCAACGACCTCGCAACAACAACTTGTCCCCACTGATCATGGCTTACTGCTCACCTGTTTGTGCCGGCATACTGCATCTCTGAAATCTTCATCAGGGCAACACTGCACGTTGTGAGAGCAAAAAAGGTGGGTTGATTCAGTCAACAAACTTACGAATCATGACAGGGACTACCACGATATGTGCAGATATAAAGTCAGTCAGATACAAAGTTAAAAAAAAAAGTCACAACTCACCTTGAGTGTAGCACGGGAATCGAGACCTTCTGAATCACGCTCCCTATGATCACCGCCTCACGGAGCGTGCAAGTCTGGGACTGGCACAGCGGCAGCAACACCCCTTTATAAAACGCTGCAGGCTTATAAACCGCCTTCTTAAGCGACTGATACAGTGCAAAGTGCAGCTTCTTATTAAGCCTAATGTCCCGACGCACTCTCGGCAACAGCACCAGCCGGTAAAACCTCTGGGCGGCGCGAGCGTTGAGATTCGACGCAAAAAGACGAGTGGCGGCAAAGACAGCAGCAGGCGTCCAGCTGTCAGGGTCTGTAAGGAAGAGCACATCCTCCCAATTGCTCAGTGCTGGCACGATCTTGAATGCCTTTGGGACCTTGCCGGACCGGTAACGACTCAGCAACTTGCCCACTCTGCAGGAAAGGGGGAGGGGAAGGATAAACGTTCAATCGATCAGCTAAGACAGCAGCAGGCGTCCAGCTGTCGGGGTTTGTGACTATCTTTCGCCCAAGCAGCAAAGACAGACAGCAGCAGGAGCCCAGCTGTCAGGGTCTGTAAGGAAGAGCACGTCCTCCCAGTTGCTCAGTGCTGGCACGATCTCGAATGCCTTTGGGACCTTGCCGGACCGGTACCGACTCAGAAGCTTGCCCACCCTGCAGGGGTGAGGGATGAAAGCGGAGGGTGACAGAGATGTGGGAGGGGAGCAGAGTAATGGACACGAATGAGTAAACTCAAATCTAGTTTGCTCACCTTCAGTGCACCTCCATTACTTAGTCATCCAAGAAAGAGGAGGGGAGGAGAGAAGAGGGGAGGCGAGGAAGCTTTGATTCACACTCTCTCACTCACCCTCGGTACACCTCCATCACTTTCTCATCCACTCCAGGAATCCGCCTCTCCGCCTCTTCCCCCCCCCTCCCCCCCTCTCACACCCCCCCCGCCGCCCGCGCCCCCAGCTGCCCCCGCCGCCCCGCCAGCTGTCGCCTCCTGGATTTTCGCCATGATGACGTCAGCCAGCGTGCGCTGACGTGGAGCCGCGCCTCCCCCCGCGAGGAAGACTGCGATCGCCCGCTCGTCCTCCTCCGTCACCTCGTCCGCCTGCCACGCAGCCACACGATGACACGTGGCAAATTCAGGTGCCACGTCACAACAAGGCGTCGAGAATGTGGAGTAGGGGAAGAGGAGAGGGAGGGGAAGGAGGGAGGGGGGTTAACGAGAAGGGACGGGACTGAGGGGAGGTGGGGGATTTAGTTTTGAACACGGTTTCGTTCCCCCAACTCACCACAGCATCGTTATACATGCTCGCCGTTTCTGAAAACGCGCCATACTCCCCATCCTCATCATCTTCCTCGTCCTCCCCGTCCTCATCCTCATCCTCATCCTCATCCCCTCCTTTAACTCCTCCTTTACCTTTACCCCCGACTCACCACAGCATCGTTGTACATGCTCGCGGTTTCTGAAAACGCGCCATACTCATCCTCATCGTCATCCTCCGCTTCTCCCTCTTCCCTCTCCTCCCCCTCCTCTATATCCTCCCGCCCTCGTCTCGCGTCGCTTAGGATTTTCTCCACGTCCGCAGCCGCCGCAGCCGCCGCTTCTGGATCCCGCACTTCCCGCTCCTCCCCCTCATCCCCCGCCTCCTCCTCCCGCTCCTCCTGCTCGCGCTCCCGCGCCGCCACTGCCGCGGCGAGATCGAACGCCTCGCGCGCCCCGTCCAGGCCGCGCTCCTTCTCCCTGCATGCCGCGACAAAGCAGGCGATGCAGAGGGCGCGCGCTCAGGTGTTGCGACAAAACAGGCGATGCAGAGGGCATGCATTCGGGTGTTGAGACGAAACATGCGATGGAGAGGATTGGACCTCGTGCGAGTGGCGTAATGTAATGTAATGCAAGAGTTCAAATGTAGGTCCACGCGTTTTATCAGATGGGACTTCCAGGGTTCGGGATCCAGAATAAGGCGATGTTGGGATTTAGGGTTACGGTTATAAGTATCAGGGTTCAGAGTTAAGAATCGAGCTGAAAATGGTGATTCTGGTTATTGCGGGAAATCTGAAAATGGTGATTGGGGAGAAACTCACATCTCCCGCGCGACTTCCTGCTGTTGCTTGCGCGCCTCCTTGAGGATCCGCGCGCTCATCCCCGCGCCGATCACGCCCTCCTCGTCCCCCTCCCCCTCCCCCTGCCGCCGCCGCTGCTTCGGCGCGCGCCGCCGCTTGGCGGCTTGCTCGAGGAGAAACTCGTCGTCCATCTCCTGCTCTAGCGTCGTCGCGTGCGCCGCGCCGCCGCCGCCGCCGCCGCCGCCGCCACCTCCGCCGTGCTTTGTGGAGACCTTCATGCCCTTGGCCTTGAGGTGCAGGCGCTGCTGCTGCTGTGCCGCCACGCGACCCCGCTTCTTCCCCTTCATTGCCGCGAATCACGCTACCGGAGGCCGAAAGCTCTCACGAAATCGAAGAATATTCCACGAACGAGGAGCTATGATTCGAGGTAAGAGACTGGAGGAAGCGGTGCGAAACGGCGAATCAGAAGTAGTTTCCTGTCAGTGGAAAGGAGTCTGGAATCAATGGTGGTAGTTATAAGGGCGCGTAAGCCGATATCAGCAAGAATCCTCAACCACGGGGTTTAGAGGGAGGTTTGTGTGAGGGTGTTTTGCATTTACGATCAGGTTACGGCGAAATGACGCGCATTGGCGGAAATCGCGTTTCTCTCAATTAAATCGACCCAAATTACTCCGACCTCGCCACGTGGGCGTTTCCCTAAATTGGATGGTTTGCGCGCCACCCCCCCCCCCCCCCCCCCCCCCCGCCGCCCCCCCCCAACCCAATTTTCCCGCCCTTCCCCTCCGAATTTCGGGCACCCGCTAGGAATTCAAATCTATCACAACTAGTCGCGAATCCAATCTGACCACATAATGCCACGTACTTGTGGCATGCCACATCCACTTTTCCAAAATATTTTTCGATAAATTCGGAGGCTGCATCTCGGTCTCGCAGGCTCTTATGCGCGTTGATTGTATCGTAAATTTTAGGATTAGCCCATGCCATTAATGTAGATAGGGGCGAAGGAAAATACATGACAAATAAATTATAGGATTTTAGTTTGTTCTGTATCTTTACATTAAGCTTATTCTATGAAACAACTAGAATAAAAAATAGGTAGATAAAAAATTACATAGTTTTAAATTCGGTAGAAATTTTACTTATTATACTGATCTATATTAATTAAGATATAAATATTACCTTTTATTATATTAATGCAGTCGCATATAACTAATAAAACCAATAATACTGCTTATGATCTCATTAAAATCATATTGATTGTTTTGGAAAATAATGCTATTACTATAAACCTATTTGTAACTACTGGGGATATTTTATAAGGAATGAGCCATTAAGTGAAGGTACTACATTATTTTTTACTGTGCGTTCCCCAACGGCTCCTGGCACAGCCGCACGAGCACGTCATTCAACATTGAAGAATCGAATTGTACTGCTTGCATGTCACTTTGCCGCGTGAATGAAACCACCTGTGTTCCGTCCAATCAGATGTCGCTCGCATGTTGAAATCTTAGCGTTACGGAAAACAATGAATTTGTGACTGTTTTTTATTCTAGCGGGCCCGAAATTCGGAGGGGAAGGGCGGGAAAATCGGGCTGGGAGGCGCGCGCAGACGGGGTCCATCCAATTTAGGGAAACGCCCACGTGGCGAGGTCGGAGTAATTTGGGTCGATTCAATTGAGAGAAACACGATTTCCGCCGATGCGCGTCATTTCGCCTCAGGTTACCTTATCAAACGCTTTTCGGTAGATTTTGAACGATTAGTCGGAAAGCGAAAGTTCCAGTAACACAGCGAAGCCTGTTAAACATCTGCGACAACAGCCAGGCCTGGTAACGAATCTCGTTATTGTAACCCGTTTTCGCGAGAGGCATCAGGCAGATGTTCCCAGGGCTGCTTCCACGTGGCTCAGCCTGGCCACCCCACGAAACCTCAAATTACCGCCACGCTGGCGCGGGCATTTCCACGCTTTCCCCGCTTCTCCGCGCTCCCCTCCCCGCGCATCCAATTTCCCCTGCAGCACTGAACAAAAACGCCATTCAACCGCTTTAAAACGAGCAAAGCATTGCTAAACCACCTCAGAGCGTTGCTGCTGCCCACTCCTTCCCTCATCCAAGACTCATCCTTCTAGCTTCTCCTTTACCACCCGCCCTCCTGAGCAACTATTTCAGTAGTAGCCATATCCTTCCACCTAACATCACTGCCCACCAAAATGTTTGCGTTCGCCTCTTCCCGCGCCGTCGCGTGCGCGCCCGCCGCCGTCGCGCGGGCGTCGCTACAAGCCGCTCGTCCCGCCGTCCGCGTTTCGTTCGCGGCTGTTCGGACGTCCGCTCCCAGCGCACTGCGATCAGACCTCGTCTCTGCTCACCCCGCCATCTCCTCCCTCTCGTGCTCGCTCGCAGGTACATCGACCGCTAGCTAGTCATATACTCGGTCCCTCTCTTCGCGGGTGTTATCGAAAGCGGTTTTCACGCTCCTCCTCCTAGCCACTCACCCCGACGCATCTCCTGCGTGCGATCGCACGTAAACCCGTCGTTTGCACGTAGTGATCCGTCCCTAGGCGCTGAAAAGCGAGTTATGCGGGACTGTGACCCTGCGCCTGGGCTCAAAATCCTCAGTCCTCACGTGGTTAGGGTTAATACCGCTCATGGTTAGGGTTTGGCGAGACACGACCTGCTCGCGATTGATTGTGACTCCTCGTTTCAATCTTTAGGAGACGGTTGTTTTCAAGGACGCGCATGAGGTTAATAGTCACCGGCATGGGATTCAAAGTCAAGATGCGAGATGCGTGGATAAGCGCTTCACGAATGAAGCGCGCCGAGCACCTATTATCGCATGTGCTAGGGCTTGCGAATGCGGGTTACTAGTATGCGAAGTTGCCCTCGCGAAGTCTTCGGGGTTCGTGGTTTTATGGTCATTATAGGAGGCATTCTTTACGTAATCAGCCCGTCGTCGCCCCGCTCTGATCAATGTAGCATTCGTTGATAGGAGAATGTGCCGTTTTATGATCCCCCATCCCCCTTCCCCCTCTTCCGCCCCATCACCCCCTCCCCCTTCTCCCCCCTCACTCTCTCGCTCCCCGTCCGTTATTTCCTCTCCCTCTTACTCGCTGTTCATTCCATACTTCAACCCATCACCCCTTTCCCTTTCATTCCCACACACCCCTTGTACCCCCACTTCACGGTTCCTCGCTCGCTGTCAGACACTATCCTCATAGAAAGTAATGGCAGTAGGCAAAGCTCCCTTCCCTTACTTTTAAACCCCACTTCCTCCTCTCACTTTCTCCCTTACATCTACCCACACATTTCCCCACGCGCTTCCCCGCACACCTCCCCACATCCACCCTCACTTTCCCCCCACTTCAGCCGTTCGCCTCTCCACACGTTCCCAAGCGCCTAGTGCTCTCTGCAGGCTGGGTCTGTGCAGGAGGCACCACCATTGGCCACCAACCGCCACGCCTAACACAAACAGCATCCCTTCCCCTTCAACTCTCTCTTCCATCCTTCGCCACTCATTATCCTTCTCCTTACCCATTCCCCCTCCCCGCAACTCCCTCCTCTCCCCACCCTGGCCTGCAGGACTCCGCCTCTCCCCAGAGAGCTCTGGGCGCCTGGTGGTCCCCGTCTGGGAGGAGGCCTGTGGTGCTGGCAGGAGGCACCAACATCGGCTGTACCAAGCATCTGGAAGATCGTTTTTATCCCTGCAACTCCCCTTCCCGCCCTTCCTCACTTGTTACCCCTTCTCACCGCCCGCCCCCCCCACCTCCCCCATCCCTCCTCCCCAATCCCCCCACAACTGCAGGCCTGCGTCTCTCCCCAGAGGGCTCTGGGCGCATGGTGTTTCCGGTGTCAAGGGGATCTCGCCTGGTGGTGCGGGCAGGAGGCACCAGCATTGGCTGCACCAAACGTCAAGGAAAATCCTTCCCTAACTTCCTCTTCCCGCCGTCCTCACTTGTTAACCGTTCTGCCCTTTCCGTCCCCCACCCTCCCCCCTTTACACCCCCCTGTTCCCTTCTCTGGCAGGCCTGCGCCTCTCCCCAGAGAGCTCTGGGCGCATGGTGTTCCCCGTGTCAAGGGGATCTCGGCTTTTGGTGCGGGCAGGAGGCACCAGCATTGGCTGCACAACGTAGCATGTCCCACACAAGCACATCCCTTGTGTCACATATTATTATCTAACCCTTCTCCCCGCTCCTGTCCTTCCTTCCCTTTTTTCCCCCCTCCCTGTATCCCCCCTCCCTTCTCCCCCCTGCAGGTCTGCGCCTCTCCCCAGAGAGCTCTGGGCGCATGGTGTTCCCCGTGTCAAGGGGATCTCGGCTTGTGGTGCGAGCAGGAGGCACCAGCATTGGCTGCACCAAGCGCCACGCCTCCCGCAAAAAGCGCGCCCGGGTGTCTGGTTACCGCGCGCGCATCGCCACTAAGGACGGGCTCAATGTGCTGAAGCGCCGCCGTGCTCGTGGCCGCAAGGTGCTTGTTCCCCAGGCGTCGTCGCGCACAGGGAAGCGTGCTTAAGGGGGTTGATTTAGTCGCATACCACTTTGGAGGGTCTTGGCTGGCAACATCAATTGCTTTGTGTGTGTAAGGTCTGATTAATAGCATTGAAAGTCTGTAATTAACAAAATACCAGTGTGCTTAGAAAATAATTGTTACTGAAGTTGGGGGTAGCAGATCTTGAAAACCTGATTGGAAGCGGGTGTGAGTTTCTTGACGGTTGTTCATGGACGGTTTCGATCAGCTCAATCTGGCGTGCACTTCCACTCGCGGTTCAGATTATCCCTCGTCTGCCACCCTCTGGTAACCTCAAGACATCACGCGGCACGAGTCCACCAATCAAGAAGGAATTGGAGATTCCTGCAGTCTTTTTCCGACGAGAGGAATTGCGGGTCGCAACTCGTCGCATGGCTTTACAGCACGAATTCTGCCATTGCAGGCATCCCGCTGGAAAATGCGGCAGGGGCAGAGCAAACTGCAAAATCCGTGTGGTCAGAGCAGTGGTAACTAGTCACTCTTTCGCTTGATTGTTCGCGAAAAGCAGACTGTCGCGTCGCTTTTCGGCAGATGTGCTCTGGCATTCGCGCTGCGAAAGCAGGATTCGCGTCTCGACGATGTGCACCGCTACGTGGTCGGTTCTGGCTCTTTCTGGCCCGACTTTTCCTCCAGCACCACTGCTTCCCCCCCACTGCGCCCAGCCCAGTGAAGTCCAGTCCAAACCAGGCCTGTCGATTGACGGGCATATGCCCTTAATGCCCTGAACATTCCGGGCTACTTTCGCTCCAGCTCGACTGCATAAAGTGTTAGGATCGCCCTGCACCCGTGCCACTAAGTGCTTCGTTCGACCCTTCCCCGGATGCGTTAAGTGCTCCAACCAGGCCTTCCCCACCCACAAAGTCTTGATTTCCGGTTCTAGGACCCTCCCCCCCCAAGAAATTCTGCCTGACCCCCCCACTCCCCCCCCCCCTTTCTCCTTAGGTTGCACGAGAGTGTGCCAAGGGGATTTTTCCCTTAGCGTTTTCTAGCCAATCCCGTGTTTGTGATATCTCTAAGTCAGCTTTGGAGCAGCCGAACTTTCCCTTAGCTAAGATAGTGCAAGTGCAAGCCCGGATTTCAAGTTTTCACTTTGGCCTGCGCCCGTGACCGTTAAGGGCGCCAAAACACTCAGCTACGGCCAAAACAGGGTCAGATAGGGAGGAGCTGGGGACTCCAAGTATGGGCCCCAGGAACTTCGACAGGCCTGGTCCAAACCTGACCACTCATTTCTCCCGCCCGCCCCTCATTCTCTCTCTCAAATGAAACATCTATGCTATCAAGAGCCCCTCGTGCGGGATATGCGGCAGCTCTATTGATGCACCATGCATCAGTTTCCCCTCGCCGGCCTTGCGTCACCCTGCCCTCCTGCACTTGCGAATTTGGCGAATTCGTATTTACTACATATCACTCCACCGTGTCATTGTGAGAAAAAACAGCGTGAGCTAGTATTATCTCGAAACTCCATCCATCCCTCAAAAAGCTCCGTACTTTGCGCTTTTCGTGCGAATCCGCTTACGAGTTTATTAAGGCAAGCATCTGAAACGTCCTTCTACCTTACGAGCTCCAGTGGTATAGTAAGTTAGGCATTTGTTGAATTGCACGACGAACAAAGGTCGCGTCAAGATCCATGGCGAGCCGAAGACCGCCCGCATCGATCCATGGCGTAACCAGAACAAAATCAGAAGCCAAGGCCGGCGTATGTCGACTCTCATCCCAGCCTCTAGTCTTGTTCTTCCTTCTCCTCGTTGCAATCCCTTTTGCCTCTACCGCGAGCGATCCAAACGACGGAATTGATCCGTGCGCGACACTCGCGAATAAATTAGAGGCGAGCGTCGCAGCGCTGGCGAAACAAAACATCATCGTCGACGGGTCCGTCGGTTTCGCCACCCCTACGGAAGCAAGAAACTGCCTACGTAACTTCCGCTTCCGGGCAGACCGCGACATCCCCGCTCTAGACACAATCATAAACGCGCTCGACAACCATTACGTGTACAAGCACCTCGCGGTAAAATCACCCGATCCGAAGCTTCCGAGCGACGTCGATATCATAACGTATTTAAAATCGATTCGCGAAAAGGCGGAGCAAGGCGAGGGGATTAACAGCCTTCTGCGGTTCCACTCGCTTATCTTCCGCGCGATCGACTCGCTGAACGACGGCCATACGTCCATGACGAGCAATTGCTTCTATGGCGTCGGGCTCTACACCCTCCCGCTGCCGCTCGTGTCGGTGGTTGAAGACGGAGAGCAGATCATCCGAGTTGGCAGCCAGGAATGTAAGTAGATCGGTTTTGTGCGGTTGGGTTTGGTGTAATTTGGCAAAATTATGGCAAGCAATTGATTACATGGCGTCGGGCTCCACACTCTCCCGCTGCCGCTCGTCTCCGTGGTTGAAGGCGGCGAGCAAATCATCCGAGTCGGAAGCATGGAATGTAAGAAAATTCGGTTCTGTTCGGTTTGGTTCATAGCGGGTTCGGTATGATTTTCCATTGGTATCTAGCAGAGATCGTGTCAAAAGCTTTCATTCGTTTTCTGTGGATTGCCCTGCCTGAATTTTGCCCTCATCTCTCTTCCCCGCTTTCCCCCTGTGCTTTCCCCGCGCCTCTTTCCCCCCAGTGCTCCGCGGGCGCCCCGACCTTATCGCGCGCGGGCTGTACGGATTCAACTTCACCCGCTACGAGGGCAAGCGGGTCGTGACTATAGAGGGCGAGCCGGCGCTCCCGTTTATCGCGCGGTGGGCGGACAAGTACGTGGGGACGTTCCGCAGCGCGGGCGCGCGCTTGAACGCGGCGCTGGCGCACCGCACGGTGAAGGGGCTCGGGGAGATTGACGGGAGTCAAGGCGCGTTCACGGTGCGCTCGATTCCGCCGCGGAAAGACGCGCTCACGTTGCTGATCCACGTGAAGTGAGTGATTTGGACTTCACCCTTTTGGAAGGTGTAGATTCGGGATTCACCCTTGTAGCGAATCTTGAGAGGGTAGCGCTGGGACACACCGCACAGTAACGGGGATGATGACCGCGTGAGTGCAGGGAGCAGTGGGAAAGAAAGAGCTTGCGGATTAAAAAAAATACAGCTTCTGAACCTTGGCTTGTCAAATGTATACCGTCGTTTTAAAGCCCCCACCTCCCCCTTTCCCCCGAACTCTCCCCTTCCTTCCGCTTGCTTCAGCCCTGCTTCCGCTCCCGAGCGGGTGGTGGTTCCGTGGATCGCGGATTTCCCGCGAGGCGCGTTCAGCGACAGCCGCAGCTACTGGCTCGCCTTTTGCCGGAAAGCGGGGGAGGGGGAAGATGTGGGGGGAAGCACCACGGAAGGTTCCGCCGCTTCTGGCGGTGGTGGCGGTGGCGCTAATGATGTTGATGATATCAGTATTGTTAGTGGGAATGCAAGTGGTGATAATAACGGGGGTGATAGTAACGGGGGTGACAAGCTGGCGAAGGAAAAGGGAGAGCTGGGTATCAGCAAGGCGGGTGGGCTGAGAGGTTTTTCCGTAGCAGTAGGTTCAGGTGGGCCGAAAAAACGAGTTCCTTTAGCGGATGCGACTGTAGTGGGGATGCTGGCGCCAAGGAGGGATCTGGACCCGCCTCCCCTGAGAGTGCGGGAGGTGGGGGTGGTGGGGGAGGAAGGAGGAAGAAAGGAGGGATTCAACTCTGTAGCTGATGGTTCCGCGGCTGCTGGTGGTGCTGGAGGCTCGACTGTGGGTGACTCTTCTGCTGGGGGAGGTGCATCTGGGGCGGGTGCGACTGCTGCAGCCCCTGCCGCCGCCCCAGCCGGCCCTCAGCAGACGGTGCGGCTGTCAGCGGAGGGCGATCTGTTCCCCGTGCTGCTGCTGCCGGATGAAACAGCAGTCGTGTGGCTGCACACCTTCAGCACTAAAGGATTGGACATTTCAGCAACGGGGCTTACTCCCTCGCAGTATCTCTACGCCGAGTCCATGCGCGCTCTCAGCCTTGCCACAAGGTGAGCCTGGGACCTCTTCTCCCTCTTCCTCCTCTCCCTCCTGATCCCCGTGCTGCTGCTGCTGGACGAGACAGCAGTTGCGTGGCTGCACATGTTCAGCACCAAGGGCCTCGATATCTCTGCTACGTGGCTCACTCCCTCAGAGTACCTTTAGTCCTGAAAATAACTGCTGCTAATGCCGTTGTGCACAGCCGCTGTCGCACTCACCCCCTGTTACACTGCCTTTTTTCTATCCCCTCACAGGCGTGGCAAGCGCATTGTGCTGGATGTGCGGGGGAACAGCGGAGGCATCATCCAGACAGCCTATGGTGTAGTAAGGGCGCTAGCCGGTCCTGCTAAGACTTCCCCCGGGCAGCTGCAGATGCCGCAGCAGCTGATGATCGGAAACGAGTACACTGCGCGACTCATCAAAAGCAGCGCCACTTTCTTTTATAACGCGTCGAATTACTGCAACGAGGCGGAGACCGCGGGGTTGAAAGGACCCGCAGATTTCAGGCCGTTTCTGGAGATTCAGTACTCGAAGGACGGGCAGGCTGGAAATTATTCTGCCCGGGTGAAGCTGACAGAGATGCTGACGCTGTACGACCAATCGGATGATTTCAGCGGGCTGCCCATGGTGGTGGTTTCTGACGGAACCTGCTTCTCTGCCTGCGCGGTCCTAACTCACATTTTAAAACGGAAATTCAACGTTCCCATGGTGTCTGTTGGAGGGCTCAAGGACCGGCCAATCGCAGTGAGCTCGTCGTGCCTAGGTGGCACGCTCGGGTCGCTGGACAACGGGATCTCGCTGCCACTTGTCGGCACGCCATTGGCCGACGATCCCAGAGCTACCAAGCCATTCAAGATGCAGATCGACCTGGCATTCGCCATGCTGCAGGCATACGGGTCTGAGAAAGGCGACAATCAAGGAGTGGGTGGAGGGCAAGAGATTCCGTGCGAGTTTGATTTCTTGGAGGCGGATGCGCACATTGATTTGAGTATGGAAATGGTGGAGCTGCCTAAAGTGCTATGGGCTGCTGCGGCGGCTCTGCTTCAAAAGGGGATGAGATGAGAAGCTGCAATCTAGTGGGTTACCGATTTGCTTTTGGGATGCCTTGAAGGTACCATGGGCTGCTGCTGTTGCCACCCTGATCCCAGAGGGTGAGTTGATAAGTTAAGAGTTACAAAGCTGCCAGCCTGCCAGGCTGCGTAAGTAATAGTGGTTGGGCGCTGGTACGGGGTATCAGGTTCGAATTGTACCATATGGACGTTATCACAGGGTCGAAAAACATATGCTGTATCCATTACTAACATTGGTTGGTGTGGTATGATTTAACATTTTCGAAACTGATCATTTTCGTTGTCATGACAACAAACACACCCCATGAATAATGTGCAAACAATAAGTATGTCAGCTGAAATTATTGGCGTCTAATATGCACTAAATACGAAGAATGTGAGCAGCTTTGAGGTATATCTTAGAGAAATCAGCATCGTTATAACGAGCTTTGTGCTTGAAGTTATCCACGGAACGTCTTGTATTTTCCATTACATTCAGCACATGACCGACCACTCGCATGATCCCATCTCATCCCAACGCAGATCGCACGCTGCACTCGCGTGGCACCGACACTGGCTAGCCGCATCAACTCATCTCTTCTGACTCACCACCACACCACCGCAGCCGCGCACTTGTATGACACGCGCACCTAGCAGGTCCACCTTCCACATTCTCGATTCGCATTTTGCCTCGCTGGTAATGACGACAACACCGCACAGTGTTTCCATTCGCTAGACCTCCCCTATTGCCAGGAAACGCAGGAAAAATGCAGCAAGATTGCTCTGCTCCTCGAGCCGTACGAGTGTCCTTCCGTTCATTGAATGGGCGACGAAGCGTTGGGAACAGCTTTGAGAGGGTTTCGTTGGGAAACCGGAAACTCTCCGGAATTTCAGAGCGTTTACCCGTCAAACGTGGAACCCTGCCCGTGCACAGTATCGTGCGTGGTCGTTGACCAGTAGGGCAGTAGTGTTCGCGCGGTAAACGCTAGCCGCGAAACACCAGCACCGTCGCGTGACGTCGCATCCCCACACGAGCTGTGTCAGCGTCAGGTTACCCGTCGTCTGCTCAGACGGAGCCGTTCAAACCAGTCGTCCTCCTGACCGAAATTGAAATTTCCCTTTCCCCGGCTTTACGAAAATACCAGGTTGGGTTACCCCACCCAGCCAGCCCCAAGGGCGGGAGGGACCGTTGGCCCTTCGAATATGCCGAGGAACCGTCAAGGGGATTCCTTACAAGACACCCTTTCCTCAACAGAAGCTTCTGAAACCAGCTTTTCCTCTCAATCCTGGTTTTCACCCGAGCTAGGGTTTCATTCCAGCTGCCTGGTCTCCTGGTCTGGTTCGCCTTTCTTTGCCATATTTCAACACAGCTGCCATAATTTCTCTGTCTGTACCTCCTGCAGTTCAGCCGATCAGTGTGTGCGTTTGCTAGCGCTTGACGTGAAAATGGATATGAAGAAGCTCGCCATGGAGCATGCCGCTCAGATGTGTCCTTTCCTCCGAAACGTGTCGCTTTCCTCATCCCCCGCTCCGCATTCATCTCCCCTCTCCCACTCCCTCGGGGACCTCTGTGCCGCTTCCGCCACGCTCCCGGGAAAGAAGCCTATCTTTGAGGAAACGTCGTCCTCCTTCGATGTCGCTTTCAGGCTCTTTCACGGCGAAACGGGTGTTGTCCCGCTCGCGAAGACCTGCGACCGCGTCTCCGTTAAGTCAGGCGAAAGCGACGACGGTCAGATCAGCCAGTCGCTTTCCGTAATTCCCGCGCTCAATACTTCCGGGATTACCGCCGAGAAGAAGTCATCACAGAGCATTTCAACCGCGAAGGAAACCACTAACGCCTTTTCCCTGATGGGTTACGAGACAGCTGGAGAGCAGGATCAGGAGGTTTGTCCGTACGCTGCGGCGTTCGCAGGCGGTCTGGGTGCGTCAGCAGCGACGATCAGCCTATCGGTGTTCGGCCCATCCGGACCGTTCAGTTATGACTCTTTCCGATCTCGCGGGGAGAGCAGCAAGGAGCAGCAGAGACGGAAGGAGCAGGAGGAGAAGAGGCGACGCGAGGAGGAAGCTTCAAAGGTGAGCTGTTCTCCTTGACGCTTCGAGTTGTTATCTGTGTTCGCTGCCATGCTAGCATGGACTAAACTCTTGGTCAAAAAGTCAAGTAGTTTCTCCTGATAGGCTGGGTTAAGTGCCTCGACCTTTCGTCGTCAGCATTGCCATCTTTCTCCGTACGCGTTACGGATCTCAAATTTCACGTTGTCGATCCGTAATGCGGAATGACTGTTACAATCTGGTCGATATTCACTCTGCAGTGGAGCTTGAGTTAACCGTGGAATCGCTCATTTCTTTCCCGTGATCGTCATTTTCAGGAGCGAGAGTCTGTACACGAAGCCGAAGGCGAAGAATGGCTCAAGTCGGGTAACTGCCCGATCGCGAAGTCCTACCGAGCGTTTTCGCGAGTGGTGCCACTCATCGCAGCGGCGATCAAGCCCGCGTCCGGATTCCAATACAAATGCCCCGCTCCCATCATCGCCATGCGCGCAGCCGTCGCTAAAACGTCCGCTATGAAAGCCCTCCGGCCGCAGGCCCTCCCGATAAGAACACTCGCTATAGGCACGATCGGCATGATGCTGAACATTCCGCTGGGAGTCTGGCGAGAGCATTGCGAAAAGTTTTCGCCACAGTGGATCATCGCAGTGCACGCGTCCGTTCCGCTGGTCGCCGTGCTGCGAAAGGCTGCGCTCATGCCGAACTACGCCATGGCCTTCACTATAGCGGCCTCCGTTATTGGCCAGGCGATCGGGGCGAGAGTGGAACGGAGACGTCTGAAACAGCTCAAGGAAGGCACGGAGAGTGCTGAAGTGGCAGACACCCTTCCTGGTGGCAGCATTGCAAGCACCAGCACCAACAGCAACAGCAGCTTCAAGTCTGCTGCCATTCCAAGGCTCCCCCAGCGCTCTGTCATGCTGTCTAAGACACGCAACGATTCCCGGGCTGTTCGTGTCGGGGCATCAGCAGGGGCAGGTTCTTGCACGGCCGCTGCTGGTAAGGAGGGCGTGAGTGCACTTGTAAGCTCCATGGCTGTTGGCGCTGGTGGGGGAGCGAGTGCTGGCAGCCCATTGAAGGTTGCTGCTGCTGCGCATTGATGCGTGCTGCTGCTGGCACGCGCACTGATGCGTTTCCCCTGCTGGCAGTGGCACTGCCAGCTGCTGTTGTATTGAACCAATGGAGGATACGCTTGTTAGGGAAACTAGAATCAGGTAGCAAGAAAGACTCAGAACATTTGAGGTCCCTCCCAATATTGTAAGGAAATTACATTTTTACCAGTAATACCATGGTGCTTCAATGCAACGACTAATGGACACTCTTTACAGTGGGCAACCTCACATAAGGGCAGGGAAAACCAAGACAGCATATATCAATTACGGTACAAGCATGCTTTTATCTACCAACTGTCTGTATGTACACTAAAACCACTACATTGTACAATCATCACAACAAGTGGGTTGTGTTTTTCCACCTCCGGACACACCACCCGTGCCTGCACGATCACCGAGCAAGGCCAGCCGACCACGTGCAGACACCCTGCAGCACTGAAAAGGCCTTCCATATCCACAACACAGCCAGTTGCAGTAGACTACAGAGACGTCTCAAAAGTTGCCGTGCAAGGCGCGCCAACCAAGTGCATGCACCCCGCAGCGCTGAGCAGCCCTTCATTATCAAGTACAAAGGAAAGCACGAACACAGCAGCAGGAAATCCAGCCACACCAGAAGCACAAACAGAGGAAATGCATGCACCAGAAGCAGCATTCTCTTTGATCGCACACCGGGAAGGCGGTCAATCAGACATACCATGTCTGACACCCTGCCTACCCCCTTCAGATCCAAATGTTGCAATTTGGGCAGCTGCTTGTTGGATAAGTCGTGGAGAACATTCAGGTTGCCCATGGAGTGTAGGGTGAGAGTGTGAAGGGCAGGGAAGGAGATTTTTTCTGGGAGGGAAGAGATGAGCGGGCAGTTGGAAACTTTTAATTCGGTGAGGGACATTAGGCCCGGGAGCTGTACGGTGATATTTGGTGCAGGTACAGAGGCAGAGAGATAGGCCGAGATACAGGCAGAGACACATTGGAAGGTGGACACCAGCAGTGCAGCAGCAAGCAGCATCGCAGGATAGAGCCAAGCACTGGGCACCAGAGCGATCAGCAGCACCACCGAGAGAAGAATCAGCAACCCAACGATGGCAAGGACGTTCTTGCTTCTTGCGGCAGCAAAAACGAGCACGGTAGCAGGGACAAGCATCACCGGAAGTCGGATGTCGTGTGCGGCGGAGAGCGGTGCTATGAGCTCTTGTTGCACGGTGCGGAGCGGTACGGAGATCAGCAGCATCAAGGCAAAGACTTCAGCAGTGCAGACTGCACCAGTGGTCACCCTTTCAGCCAGCCTGAACGGTTTTGACTCACGTTCACACCATTCAGGGAGGGGTGGTGGGGTCAGCGGCTTCAGAGACTCTATAAGAGAGCATGACTCGATATGGAGTGATTCTAAGCGAGTCAGTGTGTACAGTGAGGGAGGAAGCTCCTTAAGCTGCTCGCACCCCATCAGACTCAGCTTTTCCAGGCATGCTGGCAGGCTGCCTTCACAAAATCCCTCAGGCAGATGCTCCAGTGCGGGCAGACCCAGCTCGAGAGTTTTCAACCGGGGTAAATTACCCAGGCTTTCGGGCAAAGCCCAGATATTATGAAGGTCGAGGAGCTGTAGGGTTTCCAGATGGGACAAGGCGCCGAAGTGGTGTGGGAGTGAGGTCAGGGAGAAGGAGGAGGAGATGGAGAGTGAGGAGAGAGCGAGGAAGCAGATGCTTTCTGGGAGGATCTCGAGGGTATCACAGCCGTTGATGGAAAGATGCTGCAGCTGAGTCAGCGCCGACATAGTATCTTCGGGCAGGAATTGCAGAAGTATGGATTGGAGCGAGAGGGTTTTCAGACCGGTCAGCAGTCGGAAAGATTCCGGGATGCTCTCTAGCCCATCCAGATCGATTTCTAGGGTTTCCAGCAGAGCCAAGTCGCCAATTGCTTCAGAAAGCTCCGTGGCAGTTCCCGCATAGGGCTCATAACTAATGCTCAGCGTGCGGAGGTTGCTAAGAAGGCCCACGCACTCATCGAGACCACGAAAATTCTTTCCCGCGCCGATCCGCAATTCCCGCAGCTGCCGCAGCGCGCCGATGCTCTCGGGTTGCGAAACGAGCTCCTGTAACGAGTCTTCGCGATCACAGCGATTCGAGCTCACGTGGAGGGTTTGAAGATCCGTGAGGAGTGAGAGGGACGCCGGGAGATGCGGGAGACCGTCGGTGGTGAGCAGTCGGAATTCCCTAAGCTTGCGGCATCCCTGGAAGAGCGACGCGACGCCGTCTACAGTAACCGACATGCGAAGCTGATGCTCCACCGTTAGATGGAGCAGTCGCGGACACGTGGCGGCCAGACAGTTAAAGAGCGCGTCGCCGTCGGCGGATAAGATGGAGATTTCGCCCAGCGACACGTGCGTGAGGGCGCGGAAGCGGCGCAGCGCGGAAAGAAGGCGCGGGAGCGGAAGCCACGAAAGTCGCGGGCTGTGGAAGCGCTCTGGATCGCGTTTCTTCATTTCAGGAGTTCTCATAAAGCCAAGATGCTGAATGGTCAAGTGGGAGAGCGCGGCCGTGGCGAGGCGGAGCCAGCGCTTGGACACGAGCGCGGCGTGGCGGAACGAGGTTTGCGCGAGCGCGCGGAGGACGAGCGCGAGAACGTCATCAGGGAGGCTCTCCAGGGGGAAGGGCGGCTCGGTGCGCGCGGGTGAAACCATGGCTTGTAGGCGGCGAAGGAAAGCCATCGCGTGGATGTTACTAGACGTCGTCAGGCGACAGGGAGAGGAATTCAAGTGCGGACAGCTCTGTTGCTCTACATATCGAGTAGTAAGATTTTGAGCTGTGTAAGATGCCCCGAGAGATCTTGCGTTCCAAATCCCTCGAGCCTAAACTTACAGAACCTCAAGGTGCATATAACGTAGAAGGGTGGTGTCATGGGAACTCCCTAAAATTCGTATCCTAGAAATTAGTCCCGTAACCCCTCGTACGGTGTGGGAACCTCGAATTCTCCAACTGGTCGATTGGGAGAATTCGGCTCGGTCCCTGTAGTCGCCAGTGTGGTGTGGGCCGGTATTGGAGACTCCACTCTCAAGCATCTCCTGAAAGCCGAAGATAGGCGTGAAGGTGTTGGCTGGCTGGCATGCGATGCTTTCACCCAAACCGAGACAGCCTCGACAATTTCCTGACACCCTGGCGCCACGTAACGCATTCTCGGGGAGATCGAACCGCATCTCGCGCGCTCTGTTCTCGTTTGTGTTGGTAGAGATTTGTATAGAAACGTTTCTCATGTCAGCCAAGATATATAATTAGTGCCCCCTCGTGCCTATTTTTTGACGAATTGAAGACTGCACCCAGGGGTGTGATATATGGGGGATTGCGGTAAACGGCACTCGTTCCCAGCAGCAACGCAAAGCAGAAGTCGTCCCTGAGGGAGTCAAACCCTTACAAGGCCGAACTGAAACCTCCTCGTGGGACATCCCTATGGTACTCCTTGGGAGGCTTTCTGCCCTTACTGCCTCTCCAAATGTGATTGAATTGGTGCAAACATAGAAGAGATGGCAGCAACCACGGCGAATCTGGCGAGGAAATGCTTGATATAACAGTGCTAACTCAGACTGGTTAGTGATGTGCGAGTGCAACGGTCAAAGTTCAATGCAGGTACCGTACTTTTCTCAGCAACTTTGAAAATCATAGTGAAAGATGGAAAGAAAGCCCTGCGCGCGATCACCTGCGGGCTACTTTCCCTCCACGTGCCCGCTTCAGTGCAGTGACAGCATCTGCTTGCTTTGACCCCACCACTCCCGCCATCCTCCCTGCCCCACCTCCTCCCCCCACTGCTCCCCCACCCCCAGTTCCCCTTCCCCCTCCCCATCCCCCCCCTCTCCCACCACTCCCCCTGCCAGGTGCCTGTGCTCCTCTCCCCCCACCCCTGCCCATTCCCCTGCCCCCTCTCCCTCTCATTCCCCCACCACCCCTCCCCCCTCCCCCACCTCCCCTCTGCTGCTGCCATGCCCCTCCCCTTCCCCCTCCTCCTCTCCCCCCACCACTCCCCCCTCCCCTTCCCCCATGCCTGCCCCCTCGCCCCCCACCTCGCTCCCCCCCTCCCTGCATCCCCCCTGCACCCCACTGCTTCCCCGCTCTAGCTGTTGCCAGGGAAACAAAGGGATTGGAGAGGTGCTGGGAGTTCCCAGGGGTGCCTGCTGCTGCTGACGTGGCAGCAGCGGATGGAGTTGCTCGCAGCTGATTGGCCAGCTCGGTTGTCATGCCGGACTGACGTGTGATTGGATAGAGGGTAGGGAGGGAACGACAAGGTTGGAACCAGAAGGCAGAGGAGGAGAGGAAAACAGCAGAGAGGAGAGGAGCAGAGGAGTGAATTATAGTAGAGAGGAGAGGAGGAGAGGAGGAGAGGAGTGAATTATAGTAGAGAGGAGAGGAGGAGAGGAGGAGAGGAGTGAATTATAGTAGAGAGGAGAGGAGGAGAGGAGGAGAGGAGGAGAGGAGGAGAGGAGGAGAGGAGGAGAGGAGTGAATTATAGTAGAGAGGAGAGGAGGAGAGGAGGAGAGGAAGGATTGGTGAAGGGTGGGTAGTCTAGTGCATATGGTGCAAGGGTTGCTGAAGGGTGAACTGGTTTGTCTAAGGTGTGCTGAAGGGTGGAAAGGTGTGCTGAAGGGTGGAAAGGTGGCAAGTTATAGTGGAAGCATGCAGCAGAGGCTCACAGCATGAGAGTTCAAAAAGGGGAAAATAGAGTTAAGAGCAAAGGGAAGAATGACTCACAGCAGAGATGAGTGAGCGCAGGTTGGTGGGTCTGAGGGGCTGCGAGACTGCTTGCTTCAGTGCCTGGTAACACATTCAAGGAGGGCACATTCAAGGAGGGCACATTCAAGGAGGGCACATACAAGGAGGGCACATTCAAGGAGGGCACATTCAAGGAGAGAGGGGCACGGCAATTGTTGGAAGGATGAGTGAAGGACAGCCGGAGTGGGATAAATGAGTACAGGTTGGTGGGTTTGAGCGGCTGCGAGACTGCTTGCTTCAGCGCCTGGTAACACATTTAAGGAGGGCACATTCAAGGACGGCACATTCAAGGACGGCACATTCAAGGACGGCACATTTAAGGACGGCACATTCAAGGACGGAAAATTCAAGGAGGGCACATTCAAGGACGGCACATTCAAGGACGGCACATTCAAGGAGGGCACATTCAAGGACGGCACATTCAAGGACGGCACATTCAAGGACGGCACATTTAAGGACGGCACATTCAAGGACGGCACATTCAAGGAGGGCACATTCAAGGACGGCACATTCAAGGAGGGCACATTCAAGGACGGCAAATTCAAGGAGGGCACATTCAAGGAGGGCACATTCAAGGACGGCACATTCAAGGAGGGCACATTCAAGGAGGGCACATTCAAGGACGGCACATTCAAGGAGGGCACATTCAAGGACGGCACATTCAAGGAGGGCACATTCAAGGAGGGCACATTCAAGGACGGCACATTCAAGGAGGGCACATTCAAGGAGGGCACAATCAAGGAGGGCACATTCAAGGAGGGCAGCACATATGGGAGGGCTGAGCGAATGGGAGATGTAGAGGGAGAGGAGGGGAGTGGCACAGGAGTGGGATGAGTGAGTACAGGTTGGTGGGACAGAGGGGAAGGGCCTAGAGACTGCTTATTTCAGAGCCTGGCCAGTCATTCACGAGGGAACGGTACATTGGCAGGTGCAGTGCGGTGGGAGGGAGGGAAGGGAGTGGCAAAGGAGTGGGATGAGTGAGTACAGGTTGGTGGGACAGAGAGGAGGGGCCTAGAGACTGCTTACTTCAGAACGTGCCAGCCCCTGTCCCTCACCTCTTTCATCCTCTGCAGCTCTATTGTCTCTTGCTTCAATTGCTGCCTTCCATCCTCCCCTGTTTCCCCAGGCCCCTCCCACCCACGCTTCTCCCCTCTCCCCACCAACCGCCTCACATCCACCCCTCGATCCACATCCCCTTCCTCCTCCTCCTCCTCCCCGCCTCGTGCCCCCCCTCGCCTCCTCTTGCTCCTCCGCTCCTCCTCCTCCTCCCGCTGCTGTTGTTTCTTGCTCTTCTTCACTCGCCCTCCCCTCTCCCCCTCGTCGTCACTCTCCCCTCCTGCCTCGTCGAAATCATCGAAATCCTCCTCCTCACTCTCCTCCTCTCCTCCCCCCTCCTCATCCTCATCCTCCTCCTCCCCTCCTGCCACGTCAGCACCCCTCTCCTCCAGATTCACCTGCACCGCCTTGGAAGCCCGCTGCTTCCAGGAAGTTTCCGCCTTCTCCTTGGAGTGCTTGCGGGAAAGAGTGTCGACACTTAAAGCCAGGCTCACGCATTGCTTGAGGTTGGGGAGGTAGTTATGGTCGACCGGGAACGTGGGGAGAGCGCCGGACTGGGGAGGGAGGGAGAGGGATGGCAACGAGCGGGAGAGGGTGAAAATGGCAAGGGAGGGTTGACACTTAAAGCCAGGCTCACGCATTGCTTGAGGTTGGGGAGGTAGTTGTGGTCGACCGGGAACGTGGGGAGTGGGCCGGACTGCAGAGGGGGGGAGAGGGAGGGATAGGTGGGAAACGCATAAGGAAGAGAGGGAGAGGATGAGAAAAGGAAAAGAGTGTTGGCGTTGACAGCGAGCCAGGCTGACGCATTGCTTGAGGTTGGGGAGGTAGTTATGATTCACTGGGAACGTGGGAAGGGGGGCGGTCTGCAGAGGGAGGGAGAGGGATGGGGAACAGAGGGAGGGATTGGGCAAGAAAGGGGGAAGAGTGTCGACACTTAAAGCCAGGCTGACGCATTGCTTGAGGTTGGGGAGATAGTTATGGTCGACTGGAAAGGTGGGGAGAGTGCCGGTCTGTGAAGGGAGGGACAGGGATGACAAACAGTAAAGAGAGGGGAAAGAAGAGGAGGGATGGTCAGCACTTAGAGAGCTAGGATGACGCATTGCTCGAGGTTGGGGAGATGGTTGTGATCCTGCAGGGTGGTTTTGAGAATTCTAAAAAACACCCTGCAACAAGATGGTTTGATCCACTGGAAAGGTGGGGAGGGGAGATCGCCGGTCTGCACAGGAGGGTGAGGTAGGGGCAAGAGAGCGAGAGGATACGAAATGGGAAAGAGTGTCAACACTTGAGATATTCAGTTTTCACAGCAGGGACACCAGCAGGGAATCCAAGGACAAGCATGCAATGGATTCCTTGGGCGCCACTCACCAGAGCCACGGAGCACCCCTCAGTGGCAGCGCAACCACAGAGAGCTCGGGACTTGCACTCTTGACAGGCTGAGACTTACCCTATTGAAGAGAGGAATTGTGTACGCACCTTGTTCAGCTTTCGCGACGAGTATTTGATGGAGTCTTTTGGTGTCACCAGAGCCACAGAGCACCCCTCAGATGCAGTGCCTCTGGCAGTGCAACTGCAGCAGATTCACTTCTAGTCCCACCCACCTTATTTAGCTTCCTAAGAAGCGACGAGTACTTGATGGAGTCCTTCGGAGTCACCAGAGCCACATAGCACCCCTCTGAGGCAGCGCCACGCTCGCTGGAAGAGTAGTGATGGAGTCATTGGTCCGCGCGCGCGCCTTGGTCCGCGCGCGCGCCTTGGTCCGCGCGCGCGCGCGCCTTGGTCCGCGCGCGCGCGCCTTGGTCCGCTTGCGCGCGCCTTGGTACGCGCGCGGGCGCGCCTTGGTCCGCGCGTGGGCGCGCCTTGGTCCGCGCGCGCGACTTGGTCCACGCGCGCGCCTTGGTTTGAGCGCGCGCGCGCCTTGGTCTGCGGAGCACCCCTCTGATGCAGTGCCTCTGGCAGTGCGTGCACAGGAAACTGGGAACGTACCCACACCACACCACATGGCTCACGACTCTATTCTCTCCCATCACCCTCCAAGTAGGATCCTCACCTTGTTCAGCTTTCTAAGCAGCGACGAGTATCTGATGGAGTCTTTGGGTGTCACCAGAGCCACGGAGCACCCCTCGGAAGCAGTGTGACTAGCACTAACTGCAGTCTCTCGCACTCACCTTGTTCAGCTTTCTAAGCAGCGACGAGTATCTGATGGAGTCTTTGGGTGTCACCAGAGCCACGGAGCACCCCTCGGAAGCAGTGTGACTAGCACTAACTGCAGTCTCTCGCACTCACCTTGTTCAGCTTTCTAAGCAGCGACGAGTATCTGATGGAGTCTTTGGGTGTCACCAGAGCCACGGAGCACCCCTCGGAAGCAGTGTGACTAGCACTAACTGCAGTCTCTCGCACTCACCTTGTTCAGCTTTCTAAGCAGCGACGAGTATCTGATGGAGTCTTTGGGTGTCACCAGAGCCACGGAGCACCCCTCGGAAGCAGTGTGACTAGCACTAACTGCAGTCTCTCGCACTCACCTTGTTCAGCTTTCTAAGCAGCGACGAGTATCTGATGGAGTCTTTGGGTGTCACCAGAGCCACGGAGCACCCCTCGGAAGCAGTGTGACTAGCACTAACTGCAGTCTCTCGCACTCACCTTGTTCAGCTTTCTGAGCAGCGACGATCATCTGATGGAGTCCTTGGGCGTCACCAGAGCCACGGAGCACCCCTCGGAAGCAGCGCCTCGGGCCGTGTGGCCGCAGTACATTTACTAGTAGCACTAACTGCAGTCTCTCGCACGCACCTTGTTCAGCTTTCTAAGCAGCGACGAGCATTTGATGGAGTCCTTGGGCGTCACCAGAGCAACAGAGCATCCCTCACAGGCAGCACAACACACAGTCCACACGCAGTGTGCCGCCAAAGCAACTCAGCCCTCACCTTATTCAGCTTCCTGAGCAATGAAGAGTACTTGATGGAGTCTTTTGGAGTTACCAGAGCCACGGAGCATCTGAAGCAATGCGATACATAGTCCACAAACACTGTGCTTCTGCCAAAGGGAGCCTCACCTTATTCAGTTTCCTCAGCAGCGACGAGTATTTGATGGAGTCCTTTGGTGTCACCAGAGCCACGGAGCATCCCTCTGAAGCAGCCCCTCGGGCAGTGCACGCACAGGGAACTGGGGACGTACCCACATGGCTCTCGTGCTATTCTCTCCCATCACGCACCTTATTGAGTTTCCGCAGCAGCGAAGAGTACTTGATGGAGTCTTTTGGTGTCACCAGAGCCACGGAGCATCCCTCTGAAGCAGCCCCTCGGGCCGTGCGGCCGCAGCGATGCACGTACCCCTCTGCGGTGTGGGGTAGCTGGTAGTGCACCACCAAACGCACCTGGGGAGCAGGCAAGGGGAGACACAGCACGGAAACAGCAGTCAACACAGCCTGAGCCTGGTATCAGGGGTTGTTCGCCCCTGGCTAGCCGTGCCGCCGCAGCGATGCACATAGCCCTCGCTGTGTGCACACACACACACACACACACACACACTCACACACACACACACACACACATACACACTCACTCACACACACACACACATACACACTCACTCACACACACACACACACATACACACTCTCACACACACACACACACACACATACACACTCACTCACTCACACACACACACATACACACTCACACACACACACACATACACACTCACTCACACACACACACACTCACACACACACACACTCACACACACACACACTCACACACACACACACACACTCACACACACACACACATACATACACACTCACTCACACACACACACATACACACTCACTCACTCACACACACACATACACACTCACACACACACACACATACACACTCACTCACACACACACACACTCACACACACACACAATCACACACTCACACACACACACACTCACACACATACACACACTCACACACACACACATACACACTCACTCACACACTCACACACACACACACACATACACACTCACTCACACACACACACACACACATACACACTCACTCACTCACACACACACACACACACACACACACACACACACACACACACACACGCACGCACGCACTCACCTCGGGAACGTCGAGTCCTCGTGCTGCCACGTCAGTGGCCACCAGCACACCGCTGGGATGCTGCTTGAAACGATCCAGCGCATTGAGACGCTGCGAATCAAGTCCCTATGATGCTGGCGAACGGAGGTGAGGGTGAGAAGCAACAACAGCTCACACTCACCTCGGGAACGTCGAGTCCTCTCGCTGCCACGTCTGTCGCCACGAGCACGCCGCTTGGATGCTGCTTGAAGCGGTCCAACGCCTTGAGACGCTGCCGCTGCTGCTGCTGTGCGTGCAGAGGGAAGGAGGGCACCTGTTGGGAGGAGGGTGAGGAAAATCAAGCAAGGGAACGAGTGAGCCAGCAACACGTGCTTCCTAAGACGGGTTAGACGCCTTGAGACGCTGCCGCTGCTGCGCATTCAGGGGGAAGGAGGGGACCTGTTGGGGCAGCAGGGAAAGGCCAAGAGTGAGTAAGCAGGTACACGGAATGAGAAAATTACTCCGACAACGTCTTTTGATCTTTTTCAAAATGGAATGCAAAAGTTGTCTGCAGAAAGAGAAGGAAAGCTTACTTGCAGCGCAGACAGGGAAGAGAGCCTTACTTGCAGCAGTGCGAGCAGGGAGGCAAGGCGGCGGACGGAGGAGATGGTGGCGGAACAGAAGACAAGCGTGCGGCCAAAGGTGTGGAGAGAAGGGCGTAGAGGCTCATCGGGAGAGAAGGGAAGGTTGCTTGCAGGGAGAGAAGGGTCACTTACTTGCAGGAGGGACAGCAGGGAGGCGAGGCGGCGGACGGAGGAGATGGCGGAGCAGAAAACAAGCGTGCGACCAAAGGTGCCGTGCATGCGGAGCAGGTAGAGGAGAAACACGTCCCTCATGCTGTCGTCACACCTGCAGGGCGGGCACGAGGGGACACAGGCATATAGGTTACATGGGGAATATAGGGATACAGGTTACATGGATTGCACAGAAGGTGCCGAGCATGCGGAGGAGGTAGAGGAGAAACACGTCCCTCATGCTGTGTACCTGCTGACCTATGTCACTGTTGTAACCAAGACTCCCCCAGTTGACTTTTGAGTCGACTCAAAAGTCAACTATGTCACTGTTGTAACCAAGACTCCCCCACTCACTCTAGAGCAGCTTCTTGCATGCCAATTGCCACAGCATCAGCCGTGGTGAGACAAAACAATGGCAGGGGACGGCCGCATGCCAGTCAGCTGCATAAGAGCCACACTCACCACTCTACACCCATCAAGACCACTCTACGTACCGTACCAGCACCATCCCTTGGAGTGACCTAGGGACCACTCACTCTAGAGCAGCTTCCTGCACGCCGCTGGCCACCACATCAGCAGTGGTCGAATCCACAATTGCAGGGGACGGGCGCATGCCAGTCAGCTCCATAAGAGCTGCCACCACCACCACCACCCTACCTGATCATCATCATTGTGCATCTCACCACTTCCTCTCGAGTTGACTTTTGAAACAGTCGCTGCCACGTATGGTAATGGCTCCAGTCTGGGGCTCTATTGAGCCGCCACCACCACCACCACCACCACCACCACCACCACCACCACCACCACCACCACCACCACCACCACCACCACCACCACCACCACCACCACCACCACCACCACCACCACCACCACCACCACCACCACCACCACCACCACCACCACCACCACCACCACCACCACCACCACCACCACCACCACCACCACCACCACCACCACCACCACCACCACCACCACCACCACCACCACCACCACCACCACCACCACCACCACCACCACCACCACCACCACCACCACCCTACCTGATCATCATCATTGTGCATCTCACCACTTCCTCTCTCATCAGCCTCCTGACCTATCATGGCTGTAACCAAGTCTGTCTGTTCACTCACTCTAGAGCAGCTTCTTGAACCCCAGTGGCAACTACATCAGCAGTGGTGAGCGGGGGACGGCCGCATGCCAGTCAGCTCCATTAGAGCCGCCACCACCCTCCTGATCATGATTTCCATGCTCACTCGTTTACCTGCTGATCAGGACCGCCAAGTGCAGCACTAGAGTAACCAAGACTCTCCACTCACTCTAGAGCGGCCTCTTGAACGCCACTGGCCACCACATCAGCAGTGGTCAGATCCACGATGGCAGGGGACGGCCGCATGCCAGTCAGCTCCATCAGTGCCCCCACCACTCTACACCCCTCTAGACCACAGCAAACAAGCACGAATCACTTTACTTTACACTCACTCTAGTGCCGCTTCTTGAACACCACTGGCCACCACATCAGCCGTGGTGAGATCAACGATGGCAGGGGACGGGCGCACTGCTCTCACTCCCTCTATACATTTACCAGAAGAACCAAACTCACTCTAGAGCAGCCTCCTGCACGCCACTGGCCACCACATCAGCCGTGGTGAGATCCACAATGGCAGGGGACGGGCGCATGCCAGTCAGCTCCATAAGTGCCGCCACCACCCTATCCCTCTCCAACCCCTTCTCCCTCTCCTTCTCCCCCTCATCCTCCTCCCCTCCCTCTCCCCCCTGCGCTCCCTCCCTCTCTCTCTTCCTCCCGGTTCGTCTATCTGCTGCCCCGGGTCCTCCTGGCGTTCGCTTTTTTCCTTGCAGCTGCCCGCGCGTGTCTTCGGGCAGAACGAGGGTTGCGGAGAAGACCAGAACTTGCCGCTTCTTTTTCGCCAGGGTGGGTGGCTGAAGAGTAAACACGTCCTCTCCTCCTCCTTCTTCTCCTGCTTCTCCCTCTTCTCCCACTTCTCCCTCCTCCCCATCCTCCCTACCTTCTTCTCCTTCTTCTCCTCCCCTCTCCGCGTTAATCTCCTCCTCTTTCTCCTCCTTCTCCTCCTCCTCTTCCTCTCCTTTCCCTTCCTTTTCAGCCTTTTCCATCCCCGCTTTCCCCTTTCCTTTCTTTCCTCGTGCCGCGTCCCTCTCCTCGGCAATTTTAGCTGCCCGAGCTGCCTTTTTGGCTGCCCGAGCAGCGTCTCTAGCTGCCAAAGCAGCCTCCTTCGCCTTGGCAGCAGCAAGAGAAGCAGCAGTGGGGGGCAACATCCCCAAGATGGACGAAAGCTCCTTGAACCTTCCTGGGTCGGCCATGCGGTCAGCCTCGTCAAGAACGAGAAAGGAGAGATACTCGAGCTGCAAGGGGGAGGGGAAGGGGGATGCGGGCAAGTGGAAGGGTTGGTAAGGGGTTGAGCGGGGTAAGGGGCGCGGTACAGAGAGGGTGATAGCCATGCGGTCAGCCTCGTCAAGCACGAGAAAGGAGAGATACTGCAGCTGCAAGGGGGAGGGGAGGGGGCATGTAGAGGAGTGAGGGGGTGAGTGGAGCAAGGGGGCCAGGGGAGCGGCACAGAGAGGAAAGGGGGAAGGGGAAGTGATACAGACGAAAGCAGCCATGCTGTCATGTCAGCCTCGTCGAGCCCCTGGGTAAGGGGGAAGGGGAAGTGATACAGACGAAAGCAGCCATGCTGTCATGTCAGCCTCGTCGAGCCCCTGGGTAAGGGGGAAGGGGAAGTGATACAGACGAAAGCAGCCATGCTGTCATGTCAGCCTCGTCGAGCCCCTGGGTAAGGGGGAAGGGGAAGTGATACAGACGAAAGCAGCCATGCTGTCATGTCAGCCTCGTCGAGCCCCTGGGTAAGGGGGAAGGGGAAGTGATACAGACGAAAGCAGCCATGCTGTCATGTCAGCCTCGTCGAGCCCCTGGGTAAGGGGGAAGGGGAAGTGATACAGACGAAAGCAGCCATGCTGTCATGTCAGCCTCGTCGAGCCCCTGGGTAAGGGGGAAGGGGAAGTGATACAGACGAAAGCAGCCATGCTGTCATGTCAGCCTCGTCGAGCCCCTGGGTAAGGGGGAAGGGGAAGTGATACAGACGAAAGCAGCCATGCTGTCATGTCAGCCTCGTCGAGCCCCTGGGTAAGGGGGAAGGGGAAGTGATACAGACGAAAGCAGCCATGCTGTCATGTCAGCCTCGTCGAGCCCCTGGGTAAGGGGGAAGGGGAAGTGATACAGACGAAAGCAGCCATGCTGTCATGTCAGCCTCGTCGAGCCCCTGGGTAAGGGGGAAGGGGAAGTGATACAGACGAAAGCAGCCATGCTGTCATGTCAGCCTCGTCGAGCCCCTGGGTAAGGGGGAAGGGGAAGTGATACAGACGAAAGCAGCCATGCTGTCATGTCAGCCTCGTCGAGCCCCTGGTTAAGGGGGAAGGGGAAGTGATACAGACGAAATCAGCCATGCTGTCATGTCAGCCTCGTCAAGCACGAGAAACGAGAGGTACTCCAGCTGCGGAAGGGAGGGGGGTGGAGGGGGAAAGGGGGGGAGGAGGGGGCAGAGGGGGAGTGTGGCGAGCGTGTAAGGGGCACAAGGGGAACGAGAAAGGAGAGGTACTCCAGCTGCGGGGGGGGGAAAGGGAGGGGACATGGAAGGAAGGAAGGGGGTAAACGGGAATGGGGGAGTGGGTAAGGGGGAAGGGGAAGTGATACAGACGAAGCAGCCATGCTGTCATGTCAGCCTCGTCGAGCCCCTGGGTAAGGGGGAAGGGGAAGTGATACAGACGAAAGCAGCCATGCTGTCATGTCAGCCTCGTCGAGCCCCTGGGTAAGGGGGAAGGGGAAGTGATACAGACGAAAGCAGCCATGCTGTCATGTCAGCCTCGTCGAGCCCCTGGGTAAGGGGGAAGGGGAAGTGATACAGACGAAAGCAGCCATGCTGTCATGTCAGCCTCGTCGAGCCCCTGGGTAAGGGGGAAGGGGAAGTGATACAGACGAAAGCAGCCATGCTGTCATGTCAGCCTCGTCGAGCCCCTGGGTAAGGGGGAAGGGGAAGTGATACAGACGAAAGCAGCCATGCTGTCATGTCAGCCTCGTCGAGCCCCTGGGTAAGGGGGAAGGGGAAGTGATACAGACGAAAGCAGCCATGCTGTCATGTCAGCCTCGTCGAGCCCCTGGGTAAGGGGGAAGGGGAAGTGATACAGACGAAAGCAGCCATGCTGTCATGTCAGCCTCGTCGAGCCCCTGGGTAAGGGGGAAGGGGAAGTGATACAGACGAAAGCAGCCATGCGGCCAGCCTCGTCAAGCACGAGAAAGGAGAGATACTCCAGCTGCGGGGGGGGGTGGTGGGGAGGGAGGTTGATGGAGGGAGTGTTACGGGGGTGAGTGGGCAAGGGGACATTGGATGCGTCTCAAAAGTCAGCCATGCGGCCAGCCTCGTCAAGCCCGAGAAAGGAGAGATACTGCAACTGCGGGTGGTGGGGAGGCGGGAGGATGGGGGCAAGTGGAAGGGTTGGTAAGGGGTTGAGCGGGGTAAGGGGAGCGGTACAGAGGGAAGCAGCCATGCGGTCAGATACTGCAACTGCAGTGGGGAGAGGATGGAGGGTTGGGGGGGGAGAGGATGGGGGGGGAGAGGATGGAGGGGTGGGGGGGTAGGGGTAAACGGGGTAATTGGGCAGGGGGTAAGGAAGTGAGTGGGGAAAAATGGGGTGCTATTAGCCATGCAATCAGCCTCGTTAAGAGCAAGAAAGAAAAGATACTCCAGCTGTAGCGACACGTCTCAGAAGATACTCCAGCTGTAGCGACTTTTGAGACGTCTCAGAAGATTCTCCAGCTGTAGCGACTTTTGAGACGTCTCAGAAGATACTCCAGCTGCAGCGCCAAGTGGAGGGGAGAGGGGGGATTGAAGGGATGGGGAAGAAGTGGTGAAGGGGTGGGAGGAGTAAGGGGAGCACTAGAGAGTGGAAAGAGAGATACTCTCTTCCCAGTTGGCACTCCTACACTCCTACTGGAGTGCCAACTGCGGCGGGGAGAGGATGGAGGGGATGGCGCATGGTAAGAAGGAGGGGGAAACGGGTAAGCAAGTCAGTGGGGAGGGGGGCAAGGAGGCCTACCTTAGCCAGGTGCCCCTCCCTGCCTATGGAAAGGTATAGACCCCCGTAGACAGTCCTACCTGCACCAGGTGCGCCTCCCCTTGGCTCATGAGCTCCCACAGCCGCCCGGGCGTGCCGACCACAATCTGCGGGCCGAGGCTCAGCACCCGTTTCTGCTTCACCTCCGCCATGCCGCCCACAATGCCGGCCACGTGGATGCCCGTGTGGCGGGCCGCGTCTTTTATGTGCGATACGATCTGCAGCGCCAGCTCGCGCGTGGGCGTGATGATCAGCGCCCGCAGCGGCCCCCTCACTCTCTTCCGAACCCCGCCGCCCGCCGCCTTTCCCCCCGTCTTCCCTTCCCCCTCCTCTTCCCCTTCTTTATCCCCCTCCCCTCCCCCCTCCCCTTCCCTGCTCTGCTCCTCCCCAGCCCTATCACCCCCCTCCCCTTCCCCTTCTCCTCCCGCATCCTCCCCTTCCCCTTCCCCTTCTTCCCCCCACGCCCCTCCCCCGTCCTGCAACCGTCTCTCCTTCTCCCGCTCATCCAGCAACCGCTGCAGGATCGGAATCGCGAACGCGAGGGTCTTACCCGACCCAGTTTCAGCCGCCCCCTCAACGTCCCTCCCCCGGGACGCAGCAGCGGGGATGCAGGCGCGCTGGATGGGCGTGGGGGAGGTGAAACCCAGGTCATGTATGGCGCGGAGAATGAGGGGGTGCAGACGGAGGGGGTCCCATTCCGGCATGTCTATGTCCCCTTCTCTCTCCTCGCCTTTTCCCGCTGCTCCTTCTCTCTCCTCCACTGCTTCTCCTCCCGTCCCCTCCCCATCACTCTCCCCATCTTCCTCTCCCTCCTCCCCTTCCTCCTCTTCTCCCTCCTCTCCCTCCTCTCCCTCCTCCCTCTCCTCCCCCTCTTCTCGCTCCTCCCCCTCCTCCTCGTCTCCCTCCTCTCCCTCCTCCTTACCCTTTGCTTGCTTCTCTCCTGCGCCCTTGTGCCTCTCAGCCCGCTCCCCTCGCTTCAAAGCCGTTTTCAGCTGCTTCCTTTGCATCTTCCGCCTCTTGCTCTTGCTCATCTTCCCCTTCCCCTCCCCCTCCTCCGTCAAACTCCCATCTAAAACCCTGTCCCCTGCTCCCGCGTCCCCCAACCCACTTCCACCATCTCCCCCATTCGCCTCCACCAAATCCCCATCCCCGTCTCCAACTGCCACCTCTGCTTCTTCTGTTTCCCCTTCCCCCAATTCTTCCCCCGCTTCCATATCTCCGCCCTCCTCAAACTCTCCGCCCTCCATCTCTCCACCCCCCTTCTCTCCGCCCTCTATCGCTCCGCCAGTCACCAATCCCTCAAACTCCGCCGGGTCAATCTCCTCCAGCCCCATGAAGCCTGGCGGAGGGGAATGGGGGGAAACCGGGGGGATGATGGGGAAAGATGGCGGAAGCTGGGGGGAGATGGCGGACCAAGTCCTACCACCAGCCCTGCACTGCTCCGCCAGTCACCATTCCCGCAAACTCCGTCGGGTCAATCTCCTCCAACCCCATGAGGCCTGGCGCGGGGGAATCAGGAAAAATGGGGGAAGATGGGGGAGATGGGGGAAGATGGGGGGAGATGGGAAGAGATGGGGGAAGAAAAGCGCTGGAAAACTCGACACACTTAACCAGAAACGCGCTGAGAAACTCAAAGCCCTGGACTGGAAACTAGTCAAGGGTTTTGGGTCTGGGCGGCACGTCCTGTCAGTAACGGACAGGTGAGCTGGGCGGCACGTCCTTCCTTCAAAATTTTCAAGGCACCTACGCTAAAGACGACTTATGAGACGCCTGAAAAGGCACCTAGGCAACAAGTGGCATACCTCCCGCTGCGCTGTTGCGCGGGTTTATGAGCATGTGCATCCCTCTCTCTGGCGTCACCTCCTTCCATTTCACATTCTCAGGCACTCACGCAACAGATGCCATACCTCCTGCTGCGGGATTTGTGCGTACCTCCCGCTGCGGGGTTGCGAGAGTCCATGAGCATGTGCGTCCCTGCCACGGGCGTAACGTCCTTCCATTTCACCATGCTGAAATTCAACCTGCCTCCGCGCATCGTCTTCGCTCCGCCAATCACCTTCCCCCCGCCTTCCCGAAACGGCTTTCCTACCCCGCCTCGCCGCGAATTTCCACCCCTTTTACCGCTCACTGCTCCCTTATTCTTTCCCCCGAATCCATTCCCTTTGCCGCTCGCGCTGCCTTTTGCTGCCCCTCGCGACCCAAGCTTTGCTGCCCCGCCTCGCGCGCGTGTGCTTCCGCTACTGCCTTTCATGGCTAACTGGATCTCGACAATACTGGGAACGGATCCTTGAAACAAGTCGAGGTTTTTCTGTCCACCTCGTTTATGCCCTAAATCTTGATTTGGGGGTTTCTAGGCAGGAAAGACGGTGGTGCTGGTCCACTTCAAAGCACTTCGATATAAGACACATTTTCTGAGTTGATTGGAACGAGCAAATGTTGATTTGCGACTCTATTGATCGAATTTATCGCGTTATAATTGACACCGTCGCTCTATATAGGGATTTATAATTATAAGTGTAGTCGACTGGTGAACAGCGTATTGGTGATCGAACATGTATGTTTTGACGAATAGGAACTCTTGATGGCGTGTCACGTGCAACGAAAACTGCCACATCAGAGGGACAAAGATCTCCGTGCTAGGCGCTGGTGAGTCAGGCTCGTGCGGCGCGGCAATCTCGGTGGTTCCTGGGAGTTACGAAATCTCTTCAACACGCATGGATGATCAAATCAGAGAAGCTTTCAGCGACTATACAGGAATCGAGAACAAGCCGAATTTCAGATGCACTCTCAACAGCCAGCAACTGTCAGTAGTGTATGTTCCTCATCGCCTTCCTTATGACCTTCCTCATGGAATTTACATGACACACAATCAGCGACATTACGAGTCTCAGATCTCCGGATTTCTCAAGCCTATACCTTTCATTAGACAACAATTTGTTGTTGAGTCTTGAGAACGATGGCCACGGTTGCTGTCGCTGCTTCGTCCGCTAGCGTTACCCTGAAACTTTCAGCGTCGCGGAATGGGGTCGTGTCCTCTCGAACTCCTGCTTTAGCCTCGTTCTCCAGACACTCCAGGACAAGTAAGATGAGGTTCTTCGCGATGCTGATTATAAAACTCTATTTTGCTTGGGCAATTACGTACTCAGAGGTTCACGAACGTCTGACCATTGCAGGTGTTGCGGGGAAACGCAAGCTCGCGGTGAAGGCCACTTCGCCTCAAGTGGAGGAGTACAAGGAGAAGGCAACTGAACTCGTCGACGTTGCGAAATCCAAGGTTCGAATTTGCCGCAATTCTCCTTATACTGTTCCAAATTCCGCCTCTATGTTGGACCTTTTTTTAACGCGAATCTTTTAATTGGTGATGCAGTGGGATACAGTTGAGAACAAGCCTCTGGTGGCTCTGTATGCTGGTGGAGCCGTTGTTGGTTTGTGGATAACATCTGCAATCCTGGGTGCCATCGACAGCATCCCGCTGGTGAGAAACTTACATCATGCAGTTGCCGTGGCCGTCATTCCTCGTAAATCAAATCATGTGTCGCCTAACTTTTGATGCATATCACCCACGTTGCAGGTTCCAGGCTTCTTGAAGCTCATTGGAACCGTCTACACTGGATGGTTCGCCTACCGCTACTTGATTTTCGAGGTTAGTTGTCACTGCCGACCGAAAGTGGTATTATCAGCACCTTTCTCGAGCTAACGACTCTGGTCTTCTTGCACTGCAGGCTTCCCGTAAAGAGCTTTCGGACAAGGTGGCGGATCTGATCTCCCAGATTAAGTGATACTATATATGTTACGCCTGGGACCAAGTCCCACAGCATACTAGTGTGTCATACGCTCGTGTACATCAGATTGTATTAACATTGATGTGAACCGAAAAACATTATGCTAGCGCATAATTTGAACCTTTTTAAAGGGCCTATATCTTTCAAAATGTCTACAAAAAACCCTTACCAAGCTAAAAAGCCTCTGTAAGCTACCTAGGATCTAGAGGAAATCATCTGAACCTGGAAAATGTTGCATGTCCGGATGAACCCCTCCACCTGGAGGACCTCTGGGCCTTGGACGTCCATCCCTGCATGAAAGGAGAACATGAAATTCAAGATGTTTGTTGGAATCCAAACGAAAAGGCGGGTGATTAAACAGCTTTGCACGTACGTACTTGTATGGCGGCACATGAGTGTGCGTTTTCTGTCTGTTCATGTAAGTTAATATTGGATCAACCTCACTCAGTATAAACTCAAGCAGATACGGTAGTAACCGTGCTTACCCAAATCTGCCGGGCTCGAAGCCCGGGATGCCTGGAGGACCAAACGGATCAAAGCGAGCTCCTGGTGGCATTCCCCTGACAACACACAAGTGATACCGACAAGAGAAAAATAAGCCCAGAAGTTCTGAGCAACATGCATGTCCGGGAAAGGTTCAGAGATCGAAGCTTACGGAGGCAAGGGTCCCACACTTCCAACTCCTCCTGGAAACGTCGGGCCCCACCTTGGATCATGAGGGCCTGCACATTACAGAAAAATGGAAATGAGATTCATGGAAGTAGTACGTGAGCACCGAGGCACATGGTGACACCAACTCTGGCTCCATGACAGCATCTCTGCAGTGGGAAATAGTACATACCTACAAGCATGCTTCCTCCACCGAAACCAGGTCTGCCACACAGAAGAAAGGTATTCAGAAATGCAATCACAGTGCGCACCACAATCAGGAAATCACACAAAGAAAAACAAAACGAGGACTGGCTCACAAAGAGAATGCTTCCTACCTTGAAGGCATGATCCCAGCTCCCCCTCCTGGATGCAAGTCATCATACGGTGGACCTACAGGAATGGGAGGGTAGACAATCCCTTCCCCTCCCCCCAAACCACCAACCAGGCCACGCTGAGGTTCGTCAAAATATACCCCTCCTGCTCGCTCTCCCTCTCTCCCTGAACCCCTCGCTGATTCCTGTCCTGCTGTGCCTGTTGAAGTAGGCTGTGCTGCAGTAGCAGTGCCAGCAGATGCACCAGCAGCAGCATCACCAGCGCCAGCAGTCCCAGCAGGAGTGCCGGAGGTGGTGCTGGAAGTCAACGGCTCGATGATGGCTGATGAGATGGATGTTACCAGTGCCAGGAGGTTAGTGAAGATTTTACCGTAGTCGGTTGACGTCAGCAGGGTGTCTGCTGACGTATGCTCAGGTACCCTGGAGAGTGGAAGCAATCAGAGAGCGCAGCCAATTGAAGGAACTTTAGTGCACGCTAGAGAATGTTATGGAAAGGGAGCAATAATGAGTGTAGGAGGTTCACAAACCTAATTTCAAGATGAGATACAGAGGGGGAAGCCCCTCCTGCCGCTGCTGAACCTGCTCCAGCCATCGCTGTTGCATCCACCATAAGAAGCTCTCCGTCTGCAACAGATAAGCACTGAACCACCACTCTCTCTGCTGTACCAGTCTTCTCTGCACTTGCTGCTTCCGCTGAAGCTCTTGTGCTCTCGTGCGCATACACGAAATTGTAAACACCTGGAACTGTGTTCCAACCCTCAATTCCAGAATCCGCGTTTAAAGCTACATCCCTCGACCCTGCAATCATCAAGAAACTCAGAAACCGTGAACCGCAAAAAATCACAAAGAATTACAGAGAACCTCAACGTGGCCAACGCAAGGAGATTTGTCCGCCAAAGCTAATGAGCCCTTTTTCGTCTTCTCACCTGCAGCTACCTCAGCGGCGTCAGGGCCGACAGCAAGGCACCTAAATCCAGAAGATAGGAACGTCGCATGGATCGCAAACGCAACGCTATCTTGTTTGGAAGTGAATCTCGGTCGATATGCTCTAAGCAGAGCTAAGACCGCCTCGGAAGTGGCCATCTGCGGCGAGATTTGACGAGCGGAGCGACGACGAGATAGCGGAACCCGGGAAAACAACCACGACCATTAGTTGTAGACAAAGTCAAATGCGAGTACGACTGCGTGATTATGAGGCGTCTAGGGTAGATACGGATCCGCAAGGAAAGAAATGGCCATGCAGCAGAGAAGCCAGACTCTTTGAGGGGTTCAGAATTCTTGATTTCAAGAGATGCAGAAATTTGTTGAAAATCTGTTGGAGGGAGGGGCTCCATGTGCAAGAATTTCGTGACTGTGTCTCGCAGCTCCATGTATCCTGTTCGCGTACTCGCCCGCTTACGTTGCCCGCTGTTATGAGTGCAATTGAACGAGCGAGTGAGAATTGCACTATCGAAGCAATCAATACAGTTGAGCGAAAAGCATGAGCGAAGTTATATAGCGAAGCTAGCGTGGTAACGGTAATGCGGGAAATTGGGGTGCGCTACGGGCCTAGCGGCGAGGTTGGGAATTGTCGAGGCGGAGGTCCGGAGCGCGGGTTACCAACCGAACCGTGAGGTTGGGTCGCATCGTGAACAGTGGCGGGAGTCGTGGTCGAGGCGAATGTCGCGAGCGGGTAACGTTCACGGATGGGTGCCGATGATGTTATAACTAAGAATCGTAGTGGATAGGATAAGGTTTGCCAAGTATAGAGAGAGAACTGTGAAGTCTCTGTAATGACCTTGTCAATAAATTGAAAGGGAACAAGATGATTATAAGATAGAAGTACAAGAGTATAAATAGCAAGCCTAGCTAGCCATGTACTCTGAGGGGTACATTCCCTTATTAACTGAATTGCATTGCTACACTAACCCACGACTATTGCTATTCTAGACAGTTACCATGTTGTATTTCGCAACTGCCTTGTGCGGTTACTGGGCAGTCAAGGGTCACGACTGTTGACCTTCGGGTGACCCTCGATCTTCCGCGTGCTCTATATGAGCTCATGCGGTACTGGTACAGGCGTCTGCTTCGCTATGAGGAGACGCGATAGTGGAGAGCCTTCGGGAATGCTTGTGATAACCTTTCGGTTATTCCAACACTCCCCTTCATTCCTGAAGGTGAGCCACGTGGGATTTCTTGGTGATCCCGCAAAGGTTGGCGCAGTGCTGGAACTGTTGACGTGGCAGTTTCTTTGTCAGGAAGTCGGCTGCCATGTCACCAGTCGGGCAGTACGTGAGCTTGACTTTGCCCTTGTCGATTTCGTCCTTGACGAAGAAGTAGCGAAGGGCGATGTGTTTCGTGCGGTTCACGAAGCCGGGCTTGTTTGCGATCTTGATCGCACTCCGGTTGTCGCAGAGTAACGTGAAGTGCCCGTTCATCGTTACTTTCGCTTCCTGTAGGAGCTCCATCAGGTACAGTCCTTCGCGAACAGCTGCGCTGGCGGCGATGAATTCTGCTTCAGCTGACGAAAGGGCGATGAGTTCTTGCTTCTGAGAGTTCCATGAGATGAGTCCGGCGGGTTGGAGTTGAAAAATAAATCCTGTGCGGGAGCGTCTGTTGTCAACATCTCCCGCGTGGTCAGCGTCTACATAGCCGTGCAGCTGCAGGGTGGCCGTTAAGTTAGCTTCGTAGGTGAGGCCGACGTCGGGAGTAGGGATGAAGTATTGGAGTGCGCGGCGCAGATCCTGTAGATTCTCCCCTTCAGGTCGCTTCATGTACTGAGCGAGCTGGCTTGCGACGTAGGAGAGATCGGGCCGGCACGTGACGGCGGCAAAGAGAAGGCACCCGAGCTGCTGCTGATAGAGCCGATGATCCTCAAGAGAGAGAGGCGAGGTGTTCGGTTCGTGGTTAGGAGGAGGAGTGCGAAACGGGGTGGAGAGGTTGATTGGTGCGATGCCGAACTTCTTCGCGAGTGTCTCGGCGTACTTGGCGGCGGAGAGATGAATGGAGGAGGCAGACTGGGTGATGTTGAGTCCGAGGAATTGTGTGACGTCGTGGTTGACGGTGACTTCCAGCTGCTCCTTGATGTCTGCTTCGAACTGGTCCAGTAGCTTCGTGTCGTCACCGGTGTAGAGGAGGTCGTCGACGTAGGCGACGAGGAGAATGAACTTGCCGCGCGACTCCTTCCTGTACATTCCGAGGTCGTGGGGTAGCTGTCGGAAGCCGAGGTTTGTTAGCATCGTGTGGAGGTACTGCTGCCACAGGCGAGGTGCTTGCTTAATCCCGTAAAGGGATTTCTGGAGCAGGCAGACAGCGCCGTCGTTCTCTTCGAAGGCATGCGGCTGCTCGACGAAGATGATTGCGTCGACCGGAGCATATAAGAATGCGCTGCCGACGTCGATCTGACGGAGAGGGCGCTGCTTGACAGCTGCGATGCATATGAGGATTCGTACGGAGGTGTGCCGTCCGACTGGTGCGTAGGTGAGATCAAAGTCCACCATGTGTGTTTGCTCGAAGCCGCGCACCACCCAACGCGCTTTGTATTTGTCGATGGAGCCGTCCGCCAGTGTCTTGATGCGGAACACCCATTTGCCGCTGAGAATTTTTCTTGCCTTCGCAGATGTCCGGGGAACCAGCTTCCAGGTGCCACGGTTTTTTAGCGACGCGATTTCCTTGGCCATGGCTGCCTTCCATTTCTCACTGTCGGGGCCGGAGAGAGCCTGGCGAACAGTGGTGGGTTCCTTGGGGGAGGAGTGGCGAACAGCGACGGCGAGCCCGAGGATGCGGAGACCAGTTTCGTTGGTCTTTTCGTAGTGCAGACGGTCGTAGTCGTGGAAGCTGGTTACTTCGACCACGTCGTCGTCACTGTCGTTGCCGAGGCGGATGGAATCCTCCGAGGTGTTTGGTGGTGGTAACTCGGCATCTGGTGATTGGCGGGCGTTGCTGTTGAAGTTGCGAGCTTCGCGAGTTGTATCATCGGGGTCAGGTTGGTGTGGAGGGATGAAAGTTGGAGTTTGGAACGGGCTTGTAAGGGGGATGTTGGGTGCGCTGTCAAACTGGCTGACATTTGTTGCATCCACATCTTCCGCCAGGTCAGCTTCATCGTGTGGAGTTGCGAAGCTGCGGTGTCCCTCGAAAACCCTTTCTGGTACCCTGTCAGCTTCGCGGTGTTCGTTGAACAGTGGCAGAGTCAGCTTCTCGTAGAAGATGCAGTCACGTGATTTCGTCACCTCGTGTGTCGCGTAGTCCAGCACGATCCACGCCTTGAATTCTTTTTCGATTCCGAGGTGGATGCCCCAGCGAGCCCGGTCAGCAAACTTTCCGGTCCTTGCTGTGTGTGTTCTGTACTGTACCATGCAGCCAAACACCCGAAGCAGACCCGTGTCTGCTTTTCTGCCCGTCCACGCCTTGTAGGGGGAGTTGTTGTTCTCGAGACTTCGGGATGACAGCAAGTTGTGCAGCCGGACTGCATGGTTCATGGCGAACGGCCAGTAACGAGTTGGGATGGCCGACTGCTTCATCAGGGCCCTCATCCTGGTGGCGAGGCTCCTGTTTGTCCGTTATGCTACTCCTTGCTGCTTGTGAGCATAGGGCAGGGACACCAGATGTTCAATCCCCTTCTTCCGGAAGAGCTCCTTGAACTCGTCTGAGAAGAACTCCAGAGCTCCGTACGTTTGCCAGCTCTTCAGTTTAAGTCCCGATTGTCGTTTAGCTCGCTTCATCCACGCGATGAAGCATTCGAAGGCGAGTGATCT